AAAACTAGAAGGGGTTTCAAACTTACTCAGAAAGATAAGATTATTGAACTTTTAAACAAATGTAATTTAAACAACGCCAAACCCTGTGACACTCCTATGCAAACTGATTTCCTTAGAAATACTGATGAATCTTCCCCTGAATTCAAGGATAATACATTTTATAGATCAGTCATAGGTTCACTTCTTTATATATCTAATTGGACCAGGCCAGATATTGCATTACCTCTCAATTTATTATCAAGGCACGTTAGTAAACCAACAATGTATCACTGGGAAGCTGTCAAAAGAATTTTAAGATATCTGAAAAGTACATTAGACTTTTGTCTAGTATTAGAGCCTAGTGATAACAAAGAACCAAGACTTACATGTTACGCAGATGCGGATTGGGCTGGAGATACATCATGCAGAAAAAGTACTTCTGGTTATATTTTCCTGTTAAATGACTGTCCAGTTTACTGGTACACTGGTAAACAAGAATTGGTAGCCACTTCAACCACAGAAGCAGAATATGTTTGTTTATCCAAAGCTGCAAATAACCTTGTATGGTTTAATTATTTGATTTCAGATGTTTGGAAAAAACCTGCTTTACCTTTTGTTATGCATGAAGACAATAAAGCGGCTATTGAAATATCTAGATCCGATGCCATTGGACAAAGATCCAGGCATATAGATATAAAATTTAAGCATGTGAGACAATTGTCCCAAGATGGATTTATCAAAGCAGTGCATTGCGATACTTCTGAACAATTAGCTGACATATTGACGAAGCCTTTACCTTCCAAACAGCACAAATACTTAACTTCCAAATTGTATGTATTATATTGTCCTGAATCTGAATGCAATTGGTGTTGTATAGCGAACCGGCATTTAGAGGGGGATTTGTCAGATGTAAATGCCTTATTCCCTAATGTGTAAATAATGTATATATGGGATATCAGGGGTTAACTTATTCTTTGTTTCTTAATGTATTCATAATTCACCACTCCCACTCTTGGCTCCACCCTTTGTATATATAAGGAGCCACCTTCGCCATTTTCCTTGCTTCTATCTGTAAATATTCAGTGAATATAGAATGCCTACTATAATTAAAGAGAAATATATTTGAACCTCTAACTCTCATTATTATTATTGAGTCTGATCCTAAAAATATTGCAACAAGGTCATTATTTCATTTCTTTTTTTTTAATTTAAACTTCTGACTTCCTGCCACAGCCTTGACTGTGGCTGACCACTCTCCACCAGTCAGTGATAGGACCAGTGTAGTCAGGCTTCAGAGGGCTAGGGTGGGACTGGTCTATCTGATACCCAGCAGCCAAATGAGGGGTCAATCCAGTGGTGAAATCCACATTTTTTTACTACTGGTTCTGTGGGCGTGGCTTGGTGGGCATGGTGTGGCTTGGTGGTCGTGGCAGGGGAAGGATACTGCAAAATCCCCATTCCCTCCCCACTCCTGGGGGAAGGATGTTGCAAAATCCCCATTCCCTCCCCACTCCTGGGGGAAGGATGTTGCAAAATCTCCATTCCCACCCCACTCTGGGGCCAGCCAGAGGTGGCATTTGCTGGTTCTCCGAACTGCTCAAAATTTCCGCTACCGGTTCTCCAGAATCTGTCAGAACCTGCTGGATTTCACCCCGGGTCAATCTACCTAGCTTCTGGAGGGCTAAGATGGGACCAGTCTACTGAACCTCCAGGTGATGGTATGACAGGACTGAAGCAATAGCCAATTTGCCAAATTTCAATCCCACAGAAGTCATCAGATTTTTGATGCACAGGTAGTCCTTGACTTACCACTACAATTGAGCCCAGAATTTATGTTGCTGAGTAAGAAATTTGTTAAGTGAGATTTACCTCATTTTACAACTTTTCTTGCCACCTTTCTTAAGTGAATCATTGTTTTTATTAAATTAGTAATGAAGTTAAGTGAGTCTGGCTTCCATATTGACTTTGCTTGTCAGTAGAGCACTTCCCTTCATAGATGTGTGGACTGCCTAGAGGCTATAGGAACTTAGCAACACAGATATCCAAGTGTGTGGCTATGGCCAATTTGTGTTTGTGTACATACATAAAATAGCATTTTTATGTAACCTAAGAGAGGAAGCATTTCCTGTGTCATTGTAGTGGTTGGGACACAATACAGAAAGCACTTCCGAATAGAAGACAATGGAACCAGTGGTGGGTTCCTCCTGGTTCGGCTGAGCCGGTAGCGATCACGATATGACGTCACCGAACCGGTTCTCTTTGTTCGGGAGCTGGGCCCTCCCGCCTCCCCACCCTCCCCCCCCCACTTTATTATTACCGTTTATTTGGCCCCACCCCAAATCTATTCACTGCCTCCCGAGTCCCAGCTGATCGGCTAGAAGGAAAAAAACTGTTTAAACTCTTGCCGCGGGGCTTCAAAGGGCCGCCCTACAGATGATCAGTGTTAAAAGGCAGTGTGGTGGTAGACCACTGCGCTCCAAAAACAAATGGGTAGACCGGTGCACTCCAAAAACAAATGGGTAGACCGGTGCCTCCAAAAACAAATGGGTAGACCGGTACAGCTCTGCAAGCAGTTAAAAGCCTGGTAGACCAGTATCTCTGCTAAATCCTAAAGAATTGTCACATGACCATTGAACCACGCCCACAAAATAAGCCACGCCCACAGAACCAGTAGTAAAAAATTTTAGAACCCATCCCTGAATGGAACTAATTACTAGATAAGTGGGGGACTCTCATTCACTGGAGGTGGTGACATGGAAACTAGTTAGCCACTTATCAGGATGCAATTCAAGCTTCTGATTTCATGTTTAAAGCCCTTCATGATGTAGATCTTGACTACTGTATATAAGGGACTGTTTATCTCCAATTGTTTATACAATCAAGAAGGCTGAGTGTGTTTGGGATCCCCATCAATTAAACAGGTTTATTGTACAGGACCACAAAGCAGTCCTATTCTGTTGCAGCACCTGCCCTCTGGAATGATATTCCCCTAAGAGATTTGTGCAGCTCCCACCCTTATGACATTCATGAATCCAATAAACACCTGACTAGTCTCACAGGTCATGTGGTAGGGTGGTTGCGAAGCTCTCTTTAATTATATTTGGTTTATAATTGGTTGAATTGTTCACCCAGACAGCCAGGCTCTTTTTTTTAACGCATCACCAAATTCATCAAGGAATCAGACCCCACTGAAATTGTATAAGCAAATAAATAAATCTTTTAATTTTGCCTTGAGCAGGGTATGCACTGAAAGGCTTACGAAGCCCCTTCCAGTTCTAAAGTTCTACAAAAGTAAGCTGTTATCTCTGATTAATATGGGAAAACATACAATTGAAACCCTTTCTCGGCACAATGGATTGAAATTTGGAGGCAAGTTAGTAGGCTGGAAAGGATAAAACGGTATCCCTTTTCACTGTAATTGGGGGAAGGGTTTTTGAAGGATGTGCTTTCAAGGTGTTTTTTCAGTTAGAAGAGAGATCAAATGTTCTAGGTGGGGTTAACTTTCTGACAGCAATTAATGAAAAAGGAGCAAAGAGGAAGTAGTCAGGTTATGACATGACTTGGCAGACAAAAAAGTGGCTACAGGAAGATTTTCCCAAGGAAGAATTTTTTTATGTTTCTTGTTGAAGGGTCTGTAAATGCTTATCACTTGATGGGGTATCATGCAAGATTTAGCCTAAAGGAGAAAAAGTCAAGGAAGGCACCATGACAAAGAGGGATGGGAAACAGAAGCATTTAGAGGTTCTTAGGAAGATTCCACCCCCATCCCCAAATCCTTTTTCTGGCTTCAGATACTACTAATCTCTTGGGATTAAAAAAAAGTCTGGTACAGCATCTGACAGTTGAGTTGTTCCTGTCAGAAAGTGAAAATGCAATACAATGCGTTAAGCAATAGCCTTCATACTTTTGTATATTTATACAAAGTCAGCTTATTGCCCCCACAAACTGGGTCCTCCTTTTGGCTCTAATGAGAGGAAACTCCTCCCCCTTTATTGTCCCCCATACCAGCCATAGTTTTCCTCCCCCTGACCCTCCACACTGGGAGTTTTTTTTTTTTTTAAAAAAAACTTTTATCTTGTTACAACTCTTTGGCACAAAAGGACACAACCAACTTCCCTATTCTTCCCATCATCCCACCTACGTTTTTGAGGTTCAGGATGATGCTTCTGCCTCATCCCTATGCCATAGCTGAAGCATCAAAGAGCTTTCTTAGTTCTTCCAAATTGAACTAATTCCAAGTTTTTCTTCTTAGCTTGATATAAAAGATAACCAATATAGGTTGTTCTCAAACAAACATGAAGATGATGCAGTTATCTCCAGTTGCCCTGGCAAGTTTGCATCCATAGCCATTTTGGGATTTGACCGTGGAAGACCAGACATGGGTTGGTTTCTTTTTTCTTGTTACGCTATCAAACTTCCACTTCGTTGATAGGGACAGCAGGGAATCCTGTTATTTGGTGTGGATGCATGCTTGCATCCAATCTAACATCTTTCACTGGTACACACCTCCACAGCCAGGTTTTGTTTGGAAGAACTCAACACATTTCCCTACCCCCTAAATCTACATGAGGGATCTGAAAGAAACATAGGCAGAGGCCAAACCAGAGAGCTCTGTGCCTCTTAAGACAGGTGTGTCAAACTCCCTGCTCTAAGATGTCTTTCCTTGGGTTTCTACTGAGTCATCTTTTGGTCCAAGGACCATTATCAATTCCCTCCCCCCCACAACCCACATCTGTAAATGTCTGTATGAACTCTGCAGCATACACACAGCTTTATCTTTGTTCAGAGATTTTTTTCCCCCTCCAACTAGATATTCCAAAAATCCTGATAATTTTTTTAATTTTAAAAATTACTCAGCTGTCTTTTTATTATAACATTTGTATTTTGTATGAAATATCCCCAAATTCATCCTTTCTCGTAAGGTATTTTTACTGTAGGGTTCGGTCCCTGTCTCTCAGACACAAGGCTGCTGACTGGAAACGGTAGAAAGTTTCTCATTTAAATGAGGAAACAGAATGCTGTCGTGTTGATATACTTTATTTCAGATAGAACTGTATTTACGAAATGTACATTGTATGAATTAAAGCAAAAATGAACTATGTGAAATATTAACCGCTCTGCATGGCAGAGATTAACTGATGCAAATCAATACTAGTTTAATTGTATTTTGGATAATGTGCTCATACAGTTGTGTATATATTTTGTATGTGCAAATGTGTGTGTGTATTTCAACTTTGCTCCTCTAAATCGATTCATTCATACAGAAAGCAAATCATCACTTCAAAGACTGCAGAAGACAGGTTGCATACTGTGATAAAGCCCTAGGAATCACTCGTACCCAGCACCTTTCCTTTTGAGACTTAAATCTTTGGAATGCATTCAGTTTCATTGCAGTAAAGCTTAATAGCCAGGAGATATGCCAATTCCAACCACAGTCCATCGCCATTTCCTCCAATTATGTTTAACGTCCCTCTTTTACAGTTATGCATTAGGTGGCATTCTTTGTGATTTATGAACAGTAGTTTCTGCAGAATTATCTATGCAGCTGATAATTAAATGCATTTAGATTAAATTCTACTTTCATGTGAAAGCCCCATTCATATTTTACTATTGTATATTATTCAAAGTTATCCCGAAGATACTAGACCCAACTGATAAATATCCTATTTTTTTAAGGAAATAAAAAAAATTAAGAGAAAACTAAGGGAATGAAAAGATAAAAGGAAAGGAAAATGATTTCCACAGACTATAGTAAAAGTTACTTATGAAGCCTAATCACTTGTCAAGAGAAAGTAATTGGCCATTTTATGGCTCGCTGATTCTGGATAAACATTCTAATCTTAGAAAGTATAGGCAGAAAGACTGGGTGAATTTGAACTCGGAATATTTCTAAGAAGCTTCAAGCTTAGCTTAACCCAACTTCAAGAGTATACCCAATGGGTTCTGCCCAAACTGTTTCTGGATTCCGGCATTTGTAGATAAGGAGAGAATGGCATCCACAATATGAGCTGAATGCTTGAGAAACTGTACTTCTGAAATAATACAGGTAGACCAAACAGGTTATATTCCCAAAGAGGAAAAAGATGGGGCCACCCAGGATTTATAACAAATGCACTAAAATACATCCTCAGCAAAAAAAAAAAAGGAAGACCGCAGTAATATCTTTCAGACGCAGAAACAGCCTTCAAACAATTTTGAATGGCCTTTCTTATTGGAGAGTGAATCCAGGAGAAGAATTTAAAATTTTATGGAGAGCACATATCGGTGGCAAACAGCAAAGATCACAACAAAGGAAACTGTCCCCATAAGTGTTTCAATAAGCAAAGGCCCCAGAGGTGTCCATTTTCCACTCTCATTACTTGTAATGGCTTTAGAAGTTTTAGAGGACAGGAATCGGTGAGACAAACAAATGCTTCAGAATAAGATCTTGTGAGACAAACACAAGTGGAAATGCTATGCAAATACAGATGCTACGTAGATGATTAACCACAGTGCAACCATAGAGCACTAGAAGGCTTTCATGGCAGAGCAGAAAGGCCGGCATGGGGTATCACAAGCCAGATTTTCTCTTTAGAGTTTTTGACTAGGCTTCCTACTTAAAAGCAGAAATGTAGGCCACGCTGAATGAGACATAGAAAATAGGTCTCTTAGTTGTTGTTGTTTTTTTCTTTAATAGAACATTGCTGCAACACATTTCAAATATAGCACCATGCACAGCTGATTCAGGTACCAAGCACTGAACTCTGAGCACACAATTTGAAAATAGCCATTCTTCCTTTTATTTTTTCTTCCATTTTCACAGAAGAGAGATATATATATATATCTTGAAATATATTAACATTTTTCTTATACTCTAACTCTTTTCATTAAATATTACGTTTTCTTTCTATGGAAATTTTTGTTTTTTGTAAAAAAGGGGGAAAGAATCAAGAATCGACACAGACTGCTCTGAATCCCAAAATAAGTGTCTCAAAAACCAAGGGGATAAAGTGCGAGGAAAATAACGGAAGTCTCAAAAATAGCTTTGACCATTGTTTCAATAAAGTGCTTCTTCTAGGTTATTTTAATAACCCCACCATCACTTCACTGATATCCCACAATTTTCTTGCAACCAAGTCATCTGTGGCCTTGGGCAACAACTGCTCCTCCTTGCAGTCTCCAAAATATTTCCCGGATACACCCTCTACTTCAGGAGAAGTGGACAGATAAACAATGGTCTGGGCTCCTTCTGATGGAGACTTGAAGAATGCCCAAGATACCAAATTGAAAAGGGGCTTGGCTAATAAAGGAATATGTATATACCTTCCTAGATTTGTTCTGACAATACCAGGATGTAATACATTCACAGTGACACCTGTGTTTTGTATACGTCGGGCTAACTCCCTGGTAAGCAATATGTTGGCCAGTTTACTTCGACTATAGGCAAAGCTTTTGTTATAACTTAGTTCACTGTTTAAGTCATCAAAGTTGATTTCTCCATATTTGTAAAGCTTGGAGGATACCACTACAATCCTGCTGGGAGCAGAACTTTTTAGAAGACCAAGGAGGAGATTTGTGAGCAAAAAGTGACCTAAGTGATTGACGCCAAACTGCATCTCAAAACCATCCTCTGTCTTCATATAAGGACACTGGAATATCCCAGCATTGTTGATCAGGACATCCAACCTTGGTTCTTCCTACATGAGAAAGAGAGAGAAAGAGATTAAAATCTTATCTTCTAAAGAAAAAATGGTGAAAGATTAAGTTCTTATTCCATGTTCACAAAGCATCTTTGATCTCCTTTCCCCCCTCACCCCAAATTTTCTACTTGCACAATTTTGAAAGACTGTCAGACAAAGTTCCTGAGAGGGGGGGAAATATGTCTAAAGAAAGTCAAGCACAAAAGGAACACAGCCAATCCTTACAGCTTCCTTCATGATTACCTGATTCTTATGTGCTTTTTTTTTTCTTTAAAGACACACATTTATTAGAATTACAATGCATCTTTTCTTCAGCAATTCACATGGGGATCTCTTCCTTATTCCCACAGCAACAATCTTGTGAGATTGTCTGGGTGAGAAACAGCAACAGTCTCAAAGTTTCCATAGATGAAAGACTATTTGGAACCTGTGCTTCTCATGCTGGCTGTAAGGAATGGGTGCCCATCCAGTTGTTACAATTCCCAAAAACCCTAGCCATCAAAGCCATGATGAGGTATACTTATGAGGCTCACAAGTTTGTGACTGCCCAGCATTCCTCCCTATTAGTTGTGCCAGTTAGGGTCAGGAAGAATTACAGTGCAGCAGCCACAGGAAGTGGGCACAAGTTCTCCATTTTTGCAACAGGATAAAATCTATTATTAGCTGAACTTCTATAGAACAAGCAAAGGCAAACCCAACCTTGCTCATGTATATATTTACTAAATATTTTTGTAATTCTCTTCATATGCTCTGGAGATCAAAACATTCCTACATCTTTGTCTGACGCAGTCTTCTATTTGATTAAGGTAATTTAAAAATAAAACACCCTCCTGCTTTCTAAGATATAAACATAATTTTACATCTTACAATTTGTATACAAAAGAAGCCGAGAAGCCTGAAGGACCAGCATATCTACCTCATCTACCCAGTTTTAAATCAACAGACGATTTTGCCTGTCTTGATTTTATAATATCAAAGCGGTGCTTGAGGTTATGAGGCATTCAATTGTTCAAGATTGTCTTCTGAGCTAGTCTGCATTTCAGGCCTCTCATCCTATCCTCATCACTTAAAACACTCTGCAGTGCTAATATTCATGCTAGAAAGGCTGTTTATTGCTTCTTCAGCAATGTCTGGGGAAAAACAAACAGTCTCTTGATGTTGCATGTTCCCAGTGGAAAATCACAACTAATTTTAGCCTACCAATTTGCATACACACAATGCAATGTATGTGTTTATGTCCTTTTCCACATCTGCTGGATATTAATTCCCATAAGCTGAAATGGTTTCTCTGGAGATACTAGTGGAAGGATCTGGGACCCCTGTCTACATCTGCAAAGCATACACTGTCTCTGAGCATTCCACACACATATGCTTCTTTACTGCAGCTCACAGGTGAGAGGATGATAAACAAAGCTCAACTGCACTGATGAAGAGGCTGGATAAAACTTGGATCTTTAAAATCCAGTGGTGAAATGTAAAATTTGTTACTACCGGTTCTGTGGGCGTGGCTTGGTGGGGGGGGGGGTAATGTGACTGGGTGGGCATGGCCAACTTTTTTTTTTTAACTTTTAAAAGCATTTTTTCTGCAACCTGTTGTAGAAAAAATGCTTTTAAAAGGCTCTGACGATCCCAGCTGAGCCACGTGATCAGAGGCTTGTTTTAAGGATTTTTGCTACCGGTTCTCTGAACCACCTGCCGCCATCACTACTGGATTGGGTGATCCGGTCCGATCCGGTCCGAACTGGGAGCATTTCACCCCTGTTAAAATCCAATACAAGGGAACCTCCTGATTTCACAATTTTTTTATAGCACCTACCAGAATCCAATATTAAAAAGTAAACCAGTTGTGTTATTGCCTAGTACATTTTAACTATTGTGGATCTATTTTCAGCATCCTCATGCTGCAAAAATATGAATGTAAAAAGTGGATCCTCTTAATGTTGCATGATTTTTAGTTGGAATAAATAAGCAATTAGTATATTACAGATAACTTCCCTCTACAAGCGATGAGTCATCTCAACCACAGAGTTGACTATTTAAAGTACCACCTGTAAGAGCTACTTCACAAGCTATTAGGATGGCCAGTAGGGGTTTTCAAAACAACAGGTGCAGACAAGTCTTCGTTACATAGGAAGCAAAGGGGGGGGGGAAGCAGAACTAGTTTATATTTTGCCTATGTATAGACTTCTCATGTGAAAGTGCTCACTGGAATTATTGTTATTTAACATACTTCATAATAAATCTTACTAATCAGAATATGGACACTTGTTCTTAGGGCTAACTGTTTCAACTAGAGGCTGCTACTATGGTAGAAGCCGGACATCATCTGGTGCAAAAATGTAGTTCTATGGCATGGACCCTGATAAATCTACAATTTTTCATACAGTCTTCAAGAAGACTCCATCATGCTGAATGCAATGTCTACAATGAACCATCACAAAACAGGATCTGAAATCCATATTTGTGATGGTTCATTATAGACATTGCAACAACCCAACAATGACATAAAACCACTTTGGAACTGTTTTTGTTATGACTCATTGTATACAGATGGATGTAATCTGTGATTTGACAGCTTTTAAGTTTAGCTCATATAAAATAAGGCAAAAAAACCTCTAGGTTCTATATTTTGTATTCACATGTTTGCACTACAGTTACATCATCACAATGTGGCCTAGGATTTAATGGTGAGGTCATGTAGATCAAATGGATTTGTGATTTGTGATCCATGCTGCCAAAAATGGTCACATCATGATTGTCAGGGTTCCCTGTATGCAGACAGATGTGTTCTATTATCTATTGTGGTTTCATATGGCTAACATGTTTTTGTGTCACAGCAATGTCAACAGTGTGAGATCAATATTGGCCTGTAGCTTGCAGCTATTTAATGGGATGGGAACTGAAAGATTCCATGTAAGAAAATCATGTGGATCTATGCCTCACGTACGTCTTTATGCCATGCTGCCAGAACCTGCATATGATATTCATGAACAGTGATGGCCTGTTATGTGCCGCTGAACCTGTTCACGATTTTTATGAGGATTAGATGAAAAAAAATTGAACCACAATAAATGAGATTCAAGGATACAGACACCAAACGCCTCCCAAATCTTCCGATCTGTGACAAGATAATGCATGGAGCCGATACTGTCTTATGACTTTGCTATGCTCATAACTGAACCTATTGTAAAAATCATGTGAATGAAGAAGAGCCATTTTTCCAGATTCCTACTTTAGCCATGGGGGGGAAATGGGGATGTGGTGGGGGACCAAAAATAGTCGAGAGAGATAATTGTCAACATGCGTGCATAACTGTTAGATGATGCCCATGAAAAAGCAATGGGAAATCAAGAGGTTCTTTTTAGAACCCATGTTTTTTTTTTCTGTTAGTTGATTACCCTCAAATGGCCTGACCTATTTTTAGGGCACCCTAGGTTATTTACAGGCATAATCTGTAAATCAGGTGAATGCCATGTAAAGCCTCCTCGAACGAGAGAAAGACATTATGTTTAGTTTCCAAGGGCTGCAATGCGGACCCTGACTAGCCATAACCTGCTGCAAAAGAAATGTTGCTGCCTCGGCCACGCACCAGATTGCTATTAGGCGAGGGTCCCTTTTATTTACCTTCCAGGCTCAGGAGATGCTCCAGCGGAATCCTCCTGATTGTCCCACGCAGGAAGGATTCCAGGACCCTCTTTATGTTACGACCTCCCCTCCATCCGCGGGGTGGGCTCAATTTGTATTTCTTGGAGCAGGGAAGAGGGTCCCCCAATGGGTTAAATACACCACCCCCTCCACTCCACTCCACTCCACTCCCACCCGACCGTACCTGCAGCACCTGCTGGCAGAAGCTGCGCACGGAGCGGAGCGAAGCCAGGTCGAGCTCGTGCACCACCAGCTCCCCGCGGCACTCGCCCCCCCCGCGCGAGCAGAGGCCCACTTCGGCGCGGAGCTCGCGGGCGGCTTCTTCCGCGCGGCCGCAGTCCCGGCAGGCCATGATGACCCTCGCGCCTTGCCGTAGCAGCTCGGCCGCCGTGGCCCGCCCTAAGCCGCTGTTGGCCCCGGTGATGATGGCAGTCTTGCCTTCCATCGAGCCGCCGGCCGGCATCTTCAGCGCGACTTTTCTGGCCACGGAAGAGAAGCAGCGCGCGATGAAGAGCAGCCCGCCCCCGAGAGCGGCGGCCAGGAGGATCCCAGCCGCGGCCATCGCCTAGAGCCCCAGGCTGGACGGGATTGGGCACGGGATGGGCCGACCGAAGGATCACTCAGAGTTACGACCCAATGACATCGCGCGGCGGACAGGGGGGAGGGGGGCCCACGAACCTCTGGGAGTTGGGTAGGTTGGCCGTTTCGTCTCGCTTGGCATTCTGGGAAATATAGTTAGCGAGCGTGAAGCCAGGAGTCTATTTTTACCTGTCGCTCACCCTGCTCCGTCCTGATTGGTTTTTTCCTTTTTTTACGTTCGATCTTTGTCATTATTATGCAAATAAATGAGCCTAAATGATTGCCATTTTGCTTTAAAACAAGTTGCGCCGGTGCAAAAAAAAAGATATCCGTGATCTCCGTGCTTTCCACCGTGCCCTCAAAACCCTGATGTTCCAACAGGCGGGGCTAAACATGAACATGTGAATGTTTTTAAAATGTTATCTAATTTTAGGTTCTATTTAATTGGGCCAAACTATGTTATAATAATAATTTTAATTAGCAATTTTATGATGTTTGTGTATCTATATTTTTCTTGACTGTACACCGCCTTGAGTCCTATGGGAGAAAGGCGGTATAGAAATATAATAAATAAATAAATAAATAAAAAAGAAACCGGGTTTATTTGTCAGACTTATTATCAACAAAGCGGGAAAATAATTTGCTTAGCTAATTTGCTTTCATCAGTGTCTATAGTTACCAACGGTCCTTACATTTTGGAATTCCTTCACGTTCAAACTTCCTTCTGACCTGTTTAAATCTAATTTCCACTTGCTTGCATTTTTCTTCTGTACCACATGTAGAGGGTAACACTTTATGCATTGGATGAACTGGATTCTGTTCTACAGTTTAGGGTGTAATAAAATTACAGTATTTAAAATTGCCATCAGATTCTTCTTTTCTGTTTGCAACATAAACATAGAAAGATTAAATCATTCACATCTAGTTTCCTGTTTGATTTAGGATCTCCAGTATACCTAAAGGAGAACAAATTCCAGATGTCTGCATTCAATTGTTTTAGGGTGAGGAAGGTCAGTTTAAGAAGATATACTTTTACTACTTGGGATATGTTTTGTTTAACAAATATTGTTGGAAATTCAACCAATGGCATGTATGCTTGTGTATGTATTACAGGGGTGTCAAACTGGCAGCCTGTGGGCCGAATGCATTACACACAGGCCATGCCCACCCCGGCTCTGCAAAGGCAAAAAAACATCACGATACATCGTGATATGTGACACGATCTAGTTTGGCACCCATGATGTATTACAAAACACTTATGTTATCACATCCCCTGAAGTCTCGTTTAATAAACAAGTTGGGCAGAAATACTACTACTACTGAGCGATATCCATTGCTTTGAAAAGATAGGGCATCAGGAAAATTTCTGTCATTCGAATGATGACATTTTATTAGGTCTGATGCCATTATACAAATTGCTGCAGATGATATAATTTATGTCACATGGAGGGTGTGAATAACATCATTTAGATGTTACCTTCTAATGAAGTTGTCAGATGGCGAGTCAGGATAGGAGCTGATACAGTCACACACAGGGACAGCACTTAAACAAAGGAGGGAGTTTATTCTAAACACTGCCAAATAAAGTCTTTAATCAGACATTTTCACTATCCAGTATCTGAAACTCCTTAAATATGACACAATCTCTTCTGGTCTTTTCATGTGTGCACAACTCTCCAGGGTTTTCTTCCCCGTCTGCTTCCTGCCTGCCAGAATTTCTGGACTTGTAAGCTCCACATCATTCCATGTTTACCAAGTCCTCTCTAGCATCATGTCCTGCAGCATCTGCAATTTAAAAAATTTGTTCTCTGCCTTCTTGCCTCTTTTTATATCCTATCTATGACATACATGTGTCAGTCTACAGGTACCTCCCAACATTTCCCTCTACCTGCCTATGTGCTTGCGATCTTGTGCTAAGTCATCTGTCTATAAAAAACCCATGACGTGGGCACAGACCCAACCCCTTTTCTTTAACTGGGCACTTCAATCTGCTTGCAGATGCCATCGTTCAAATGTGGTAGATCGCAGCAGAAATATAATGTGCTGCATGTCATATTTGTTGTGCCGATATCTGATAAGATTTCGTTGTAATGCCTTTGGATAACAACTTTAAACAACAACCCAGGATTGTTATAAGTCCAGTGTCATCTAGGTAGAAAAAAATAGTGATAGAATCACTTAGGTGAGATGATCAGTCTAGAAATGTGATAATATATATAGCTGTATTGTTATGAACTGTTGCTGACTCCTTGCCAACCTCACTTTTAATTTATAATATCAATGGTAGATTCTATGGGAGGGATGTCAGAAGCAGCAGCATGTAGGCTTTGGTTGTGGCTGAACACGCTCCCCCCACCCCCCGAAATGCATATCTCCTTTAATTCAAAGCAAGATCTTGCCAGGGATGGCATGTTCCTGCTCACTAAGCAGAATGAGATTCCTCTCAACCCCTCCTTTTCCAAGACTTCAGGCTTTTTTTAGAAACTAAGAGAGTTCTTATATGGGTAGAAAGAAAATAAAACGTGCTGATGTAGAAGGTAAAAGCTGAGATATCAGATTCAAGCTTGAGGTTTCAAAAAAAAAAACAAAAAACCCAAGAATAAGAACAATTGAATCAAAAAGGAAATACTGCTTGGATAAACATTAGCAAGTGACTAGTTGACATTGCATTTTTATTCTTTATTTCCTGTTTGCTAGTCAAAGTTGTTGTTTCTGAAGTTTATATTATCTATATAAACTCAGTTATAGTATGAATAATGCAGCCTGGGATAATTAATTAATTACCATTTTGAGAGCTGCCCCATCTCAAATTCATAATTAGGGGCAGGTATGTTAAAATATACAGAAAAACACATGTAGAAAGAGTAGTTAGGACAAAACCGGACCCCTCAATCACAAACCAACATTACCAATATACAGGCTCAGCCTCATCTCCTGACACCTAGGCCCTGTGTCACAACATTGTTAGCCTATCCATCGTAGCCTGTGATTTATTTATTTACCTATGCATTTACTTATTTGTATCCCATCTTTTATTATTTTTGCAAATAATTCAAGGCAGAGAATATATCCACCACACATGTGAGATGGGTTGGGCTGAAAGAGAGTGACTGACCAAAGTTACACAGCTGGTTTTCATGATTAAACTGGACCTGAACTCACGGTCTCCTGCTTTTTAGCCTGGTGCCTTAATCACTAGTTTTCCACTGAGTTTATATGTTTAGTAGTACTATCTTGATATTTTCAATAATCATTTGAAGAGTTACATCTTTATCATACGATAACTAACATTGAACATTGAACAGTAATGCTTGTACTAAGGCAGAGGGAGAAATACAATGTCTTTTCTATCTTTTTTACAATAAAATGTTGATAATTATTTATTAGGAATTCTATTCTTTGAGAGAATGATCATTCATTGATTATAGAAAAACGATATATATGTGCAGAGTTTAATTCTGTAAGATGATTGGTTATAAATGTGGACATTCTTTTATGAAAAATTCTTACGTAGAAAAATACTGAACATTTAGATTTTATTAAGATGGGAAAGTAGTTTTAAACAGAGAAGGTTTGCTTATAAATAACAAGATAACAACTGACATTTTCAGTTTGCTCACATGATCATTCAGCAGGATAAATAATGTAGCGTAATACATTTAAGAAAGCAAAGAGATAAAAACAAAGTTACATCTGATTCCATTGTGTGGGGTGGTTTGAGCATAGAGAGAATGAATGGAGATCAAAATGTAAAACAAAGAGTAAATAGGTTGAGAAAAAGGAAAAGACAAAGTCATGGCTAGATGGAACTGATAAAAGTCCTGAGACTGGAAGAGGTGAATAGTTTAATGAATGAAGGCAATATATGAAACAATCTATGGAGGCAGTGGAATCAAGGATAATTTGCAAGGCTAGAGAGGTAGGGAATACTGTTGTCTTGATGTAGACCAATGTTACCTGTATTTCCTTTATTTTTTCTTATTTTATGCCATTAATTTCTTTTGTTATTTCTTATTGGTGTCTGTATTCTTCATACAGTCATGCAACTTACCATGAAAGGAAATAGCACAATGGATATGTATGTATCAATGGTAGGTTGCCCCCGGTTCGCACCGGTTCTATAGAACTGGTAGTAAAACCGGTGGGAGGCTCCGCCCACCGACCCCGACGTCATCAAAATGCTTCTGCGCTTGTGTGCGAGCAAAGTGCACGCGTGTTCGCGGCCCCATTACAAACCGGTAGTAAAGGTAAGTAGAACTCACCCCTGGTATGTATGTATTATCAAAGTGGAGTCCTGAAATGGTCAAATGCAGTGAGGAATATGGAGCTGGATCAATTTAAACATTCCTTTGGCAATGTGCTTTTAAATTATTATTTTTTTCTTCCCAGTAGAATTGGTACTAAGGCTCCAGATCCCACACACAAAAAAAAAAAAAAATACACTCTCTTTTAAAAATGTATAGACAGTTCTACATTTGTAGATACTCCTATTAATTCTGCAAGCTATTTTCAATAATTTTTGAAGGTGTTAAGTAATAAATTTTTAGTTTGTGCTGAATTTATGGCTGTAACAGACTTCCACAAAGCCAAGGTAGTGTTTGAAAAGCTCTGAGGTTATTAATTTTCAGAAAAACTGGACTCGCATGCCCAGTTACAGTGACTTGGGAGCTACTAATAATCAGCAAAAAGCAAAAATCATGACTCTCATCTATCTGTAAATGGAGGAAGATGTTCACCGTAGCCCGCTTATGTATCCTTCCAAGGCAGATTCTCTCAAGCTCTAGTCAGAAAATTTATAGCTACACATTACACAGAGCAGAGATGTTCACTTGAGAATTTTCTGCCCTACTTCTCATTAATTTGCTTGAAAGGCCAAAGAACTTTACTTGCAGGTTCTCCTATATGGTGATTAATGAGAAAGGACAGTGACAGCAGCCCAAACTTATGCTACTGTATTCATTAAATGCTGATTATGTTGATCTAAAAGTTCTGAAGTTTAAATTAAAACACTATGTATGTATGTATGTATGTATGTATGTATGTATGTATGTATGTGAGGGGCGTGATGGATCAATGGCTAAAAACCACTAAAGACT